CACGCACTCCATGGACGGATCATAGGTGTCCTCGTTCACTCCCATGACAATGGTGTGCGAGTCGTCCTTGGCAGGAGCGGAGAAGATCACCTTCTTGGCACCAGCCTTCAAGTGGGGCTGCACCTTGTCAGTGGTCAGGAACACGCCCGTCGACTCGCACACGTACTCAGCACCGTGCTCCTTGAAGGGAATCTCTGCAGGGTCGCGGGTGTGGGACAGCGCCACGGTCTGTCCATCAATGACCAGGGAGTCGCCATCGACCTCGACAGTTCCGTCGTACTTGCCATGAATCGTATCGTACTTCATCATGTAGGCCAAGTAGTCTGCGTCGTAGCTTGCATTAATCAGCTTCAAGTCAGTCTCAGGATCCTTCATGGCGATACGGGCCACCTGGCGACCGATGCGGCCGAAGCCGTTGATGCCGACGCCCACAGCCTGGAGGGAGGTGCGTCCCTTGCTGGCGCGCTTGCCAGCCACTCCCGCGGCGGCCAGGCCAGCCACGGCACCGAGGCCGGCCATGGCGCCAACGCCGGCAGCCTGCGAAGAGCCATAGCCTGATGCACGGAGGTTGGTCCTCTGCGCCTGGGGCTCACTGCGCTGGACCTGGCCCGCAGGCGCCACGAAGGCACCGCTCAGGGCACCCGCTGCCGCGAAGGCACCGACGCCGGCCACGGCAACGTTGGCGGCGGTGGAAGGCATGGTGTCGGCAAGGACCAGATGAGGGCCGTGATGATTTGCTGGCACGCGGCTGCTAGAGAAGACAAGGTTCAAGTTTAGGAGTGGTTTTTCGGCCCTTAGGCACGTGTCATGGGGAAGGCTTGTGTCAATGTCTTACTGCACACCGTCTTTTCCGATTAAAAAGGCCCTTCTGCCCATCCCTCCATGTTCAATACTGCGCCGTCAGAAAAGAAAACCTTTTGCAGCACGTCCTCTCCAATGGCTCTGGGCCAGCGCACATGATGGCGCTCGCTAAAATCTCCAAAACCTGTTGCTTTGAGCACAATGCGCCACTTGACTCGGCAAGGCGGCAGGAAAAATGAGCCTGGAGAGTTCTAGAGTCTAGAGGCTGAATTTTCACCAAACTGGCTGAGTTCACGAGTCGTTCATCTTTATCATCTTCTTTACAGACGCTGAAGACTCTGGCAGCTTATGCCTTGGCGTCCTCCTTGGCCATGTGCTTGATCAGGTCCACTACGCAGGAGGCCATCGAATCCCCAACGCGTTCGTCGATGGACCCGCATGCACAAAACACAACTTGTTCTTACTGACAGGAGCGTGGGGAGTCCAGCATGATGCCAGCCTTGGAGTCGAAAGTGCAAGAGATCGGGTTGGTCTCGAAGTCCGTGGACACCAGGGCCTCGTCGGTGTAGCCCAGGTAGCCCTTCATGTCGCCCTCGGAGCGCTTCTTCATCTCGGCGCAGATCTCCTCGTAGGTGGTCTCCTTCTCCAGCTCGCACGTGAGGTCCACCACGGACACGTCGATGGTCGGCACTCGCAAGGCCATGCCGGTAAGCTTGCCCTTCACAGCCGGAAGGACCTTTGCCACCGCTTTCGCGGCACCGGTGGAGCTGGGAATGATGTTGCCCGGGCCGGCACGTCCGCCACGCCAGTCCTTCTTGGAGGTGCCATCCACGGTGGGCTGCGAGGCGGTCATGGCGTGGCAGGTGGTCATGAGGCCGCGCTTGATGCCGAACTTCTCTTGCAGGACGCGGACTGCCGGGGCCAGGCCGTTGGTGGTGCATGAGGCACAGGACACGCACTCCATGGAGGGATCGTAGGTGTCCTCGTTCACGCCCATGACGATGGTGTGGGAGTCATCCTTGGCAGGAGCGGAGAAGATCACCTTCTTGGCACCGGCCTTCAAGTGAGGCTGCACCTTGTCGGTGGTCAGGAACACGCCCGTGGACTCGCACACGTACTCTGCACCATGCTCCTTGAAGGGAATCTCTGCAGGGTCACGGGTGTGCGACAGTGCCACCGTCTGCCCGTCAATGACCAGGGAGTCGCCATCGACCTCGACAGTTCCATCATACTTGCCATGAATCGTATCGTACTTCATCATGTAGGCCAAGTAGTCTGCGTCGTAGCTCGCATTAATCAACTTCAAGTCGGTCTCCGGATCCTTCATGGCGATGCGGGCCACCTGGCGACCGATGCGGCCGAAGCCGTTGATGCCCACGCCCACAGCCTGGAGGGAGGTGCGTCCCTTGCTGGCGCGCTTGCCAGCCACTCCTGCGGCGGCCAGGCCAGCCACGGCACCGAGGCCGGCCATGGCGCCAACGCCGGCCGCCTGAGAAGAGCCATAGCCTGCTGCGCGGAGGTTGGTCCTCTGCGTCTGGGGCTCACTGCGCTGGACCTGGCCCGCAGGCGCCACGAAGGCACCGCTCAAGGCACCCGCTGCCGCGAAGGCACCGACGCCGGCCATGGCAACGTTGCTGGCGGTGGAAGGCATGGTGGCAATGACCAGATGAGGGCTGTGATACTTTGCTGGCACGCGGCTGCTAGGGAAGGCACGCTTTAAGTTGAGGAGTTTAGGACTCGTTTTGGGATTCGTGCCTGAAGCTGCTTCAAATCTAGGTGGAGCATTCGTTCAGTGTTGGGGGCAAGAGGACTCAAGGGATGTTGAAAACAACTGAGGCCATCAGGAAAAAACCGTTTTTGCAGCATGTCCTCTCCAGTTGCTCTCGGCCAGCGCGCATGATGGCGCTCGCTAGAATCTCCGAAATAGTTTTTAGTATAATGCGCCGCTTCACTCGGCGAGGCGGAAAATGAGCTGGAGGGTTCAAGAGGCGGTTGAAAGTATCAACCGTGCAGAGATCATGAGTCATTCATGGATCTCATCTTCTGAAAAGCAGCCGCACGAGCTCTGGCAGCTTACGCCTTGGCATCCTCCTTGGCCATGTGCTTGATGAGGTCCACGACGCGGCAGGAGTAGCCCCACTCGTTGTCGTACCTTACACGTGGGCCACATAAAAACTCAAATTTCAGGAAAAAGGGTGCTATATGGGGTTATACAAGGATTAAGGCTCACAGACCTTCTCCAAACTTCAGACTGATTCAGAAGTAACTCGAGGTACCAGCAAACCACCTTGACGAAGGTGGGGTCCAGCATGATGCCAGCCTTGGAGTCGAAAGTGCAAGAGATCGGGTTGGTCTCGAAGTCCGTGGACACCAGGGCCTCGTCGGTGTAGCCCAGGTAGCCCTTCATGTCGCCCTCGGAACGCTTCTTCATCTCTGCGCAGATCTCCTCGTAGGTGGTCTCCTTCTCCAGCTCACACGTGAGGTCCACCACGGACACGTCGATGGTCGGCACGCGCAAGGCCATGCCGGTAAGCTTGCCCTTCACAGCCGGAAGGACCTTCGCCACTGCCTTCGCTGCACCAGTGGAGCTGGGAATGATGTTGCCCGGGCCGGCACGTCCCCCACGCCAGTCCTTCTTGGAGGTGCCATCCACGGTGGGCTGCGAGGCGGTCATGGCGTGGCAGGTGGTCATGAGGCCGCGCTTGATGCCGAACTTCTCTTGCAGGACGCGGACTGCTGGGGCCAGGCCGTTGGT